CACACCATCTCAAAGGTAACATTACTAATCTGGCAAATTTCAATTTGAAAATCTAATGTGCTATATTTGACCCTGTAACTTTCCAAAACACCATACAACCTGTTAATGGGGGGTACTGCTGTACTCGTGAGACATCACTGATTACAAATATGTGCATTTCTTGGCAGTAAAACCTAACAGTATTATGACATTAACAGCTAAAATGTCAGACAGAAATACAAATGTAAAAAAAAAATTCATTTTCTCAAATTTTTTAAAATTTTATTCATAATAATAATGTTCCATATATGATTAGTTAATGTTACATTAAAGCCCTGTTTCTCCTGAATAAAATGATATATAATAAGTGTGGGTGCACTTAATGTGACAGCAGTGAATTACGGTTGAACAGACATATAGCGCAAATTCCAGTTTTTGTTTACGTTTTTGTTTTGATCAGAACGTGCACTATTGACTCCGTCCTGAAGGGGTTAAATGAAAGACACATATGTGAAGAAGAAAATAAAATAACTAAACAAAGGATTGCAGAGGAAGGGAAACAGAACTGCTACATATACTATGTCTTATTAAGACAATCAGAATACCCAATGTATAAATCATTGTATTGGTAAATGCACTAAAGCATAGTACAACAATACTAACTATCAAGTTAAGTGGACAAAGATATAGACTATAACATAACAAAACAGTAAGAAATATGATAAAATAAAAATAATAAAGAAAAAACACAAAAATCAGTACATAGCTGATTTGCGCCACCACTCATAGACACATATTAGTAAACCCAAATGTAAACAAAAGGAATAAATGTGACATACACAACAAGAAGCCTCCTTGCTGTGTCAAGCTCTGTATTTTACTCAGCTCTCCCTGTTGTGTGATTATATCTTTGTGCTACTTGGCTCCAGAGATGGCTCTACGTTAAAGGACCACTCTAGGCGCCCAGACCACTTCAGCTTAATGAAGTGGTCTGGGTGCCAGGTCCTTCTAGGGTTAACCCATTTTTTAATAAACATAGCAGTTTCAGAGAAACTGCTATGTTTATTAATGGGTTAAGCCTTCCCCCTAATCCTCTAGTGGCTGTCTCATTGACGGCCACTAGAGGCGCTTGCGTGCTTCTCACTGTGATTTTCACAGTGAGAGCACGCCAGCGTCCATAGGAAAGCATTGTAAATGCTTTCCTATGAGACCGGCTGAATGCGCGCGCAGCTCTTGCCGCGCGTGCGCATTCAGCCGGCGGGGCGTAACGGAGGCGGAGAGGAGGAGGAGAGCTCTCCGCCCAGCGCTGGAAAAAGGTAAGTTTTTACCCCTTTTCCCCTTCCAGAGCCGGGCGGGAGGGGGTCCCTGAGGGTGGGGGCACCCTCAGGGCACTATAGTGCCAGGAAAACGAGTATGTTTTCCTGGCACTATAGTGGTCCTTTAAGGTGGCATAGGTAACCACCTTAGGACGCACTGGCCCAGGGGCACAGATATCCAGGTGACTGGCAGGAGGGAAGCACACTGCTCTCCTCTTCTGCTGGTCACTTTTTGTAAAATGACTGAACTCCAGGACCGGGACCAACAAAGGAGATTAAGGGATATTCCTGGTTGGCCCGTGACCCAGAGAAGAGGATCCACAGCCGCCCGGAAGAGTGGGAGGAGAGAGAACACGTTTGTTCTCCCTCCTACTGTATCAGAGCAGTACTATGTCCCCCACTACTGTCTCTAACCCCATCACAGTCCCTGTCTCCCCCATCACACCCCCTACACTCCAACACAGTCCCTATCTCCCCATTAGAGCCCTAATCTCCCCATCCCCATCACAGGCCCAAACCACATCACCCCACTACTGCACAATTTCCACATCACAGCCAAAAATCCCACATTACTGCCCCTATCTGGTACATTCCCTATCCCCTACCACTGCCCCTATCTCTATCCATAGTCCCTATCTCCACCAATCACAGCCCATATCTCCCTCATCACAGCCCCTATCTCCACCACATCACACCTATCCCCCTCCCCCACTACTGCACCATTTAAACATCACAGTCCATTTTCCCACTTAACTGGTCTTATCACAGACCCTATCCACCGAACACAGCAAATTCCGCCTCCCTTCCCCCTCCCGGTAAAGTCATAAGCCCCCACACAATGAAGCTTATATCCTCTGCAATACACTGCTGCTCAAATAACCCACAGAGACTACACAGTCCCTATCCCTCATAATTATTCCCTCACCACAGCTCTTAATATTTCACAAACCACAGCCTCTATCCCCCATACACTACAGCCCATATCTCCCCCATATACTACATCCCATAAGAACCCCATCCACAACAGTCACTATTCCCCTGCACTGCATCTCATATTGCCTCCATACACTACAGCTCCTATCCCTTCCACAGATTGCATCCCCTATACCCACATATACTATGGTTTCCATCCCCCCACACACATTACAGTCATAATCACCCTCACATACTCTACAGCAATTAACCCCCCAAGAAAAGAAACACTACAAGCCCTCTCCCACACATTATGCAACTAACAGGCCTCTCCTCAATCACTACACTACAAACAGCCCGTTCACAGACAAACAACCGCACAAGCAGCCTTTTCCCACATGCAAACACAGACATGCAACTCCACAGGCATAATCCCCAAATGCAGCTACCTCTCCACACACAAAATCATGCAGGCATACATAGCACCTCAGCTAGTCTATCACTCACACAACACTACAAACAGCCTCCAATCATATACAAATTTAAAACCAGTCCCCCTGTACACACACACATACACCCCTGGAGGGGCATCAATGCCCACTTTGGGTTGCTCTGCTGATATGGTATAATGGGTTGCTCTTTATTTATTTATTTTAAATGCAAAGACCAAATGTTTGTCCCAGTCCGGCCCTGTCCAGGACCTCTATTCACTCCAGCCTCCTGTTCTGGTGCATGCTGCAGGCTGAGTAAAGGGGGCTGGGAAATGAATCATGCCATCTCTCTGCTCCCTGTCCAACACATGGTGCAGCTGGTGCCTAGGGATTAATCCACAGATCAAAGCCAGACAGTGTGCTTCCCTGGGACCTCATTGTACCTGTATGTGTAGATTGTATAACTGTGTATCTCTATGTTTGTGCCTGTATGATTGCGTGCCTTTTATGACTGTGTGTCTATATATGTTTGTGACTGCGTGCCTGAATAACTATATCTGTGTGTCTGTCTGACTCTGTGTATTGGTTGAGTAACTCTTCATTGAAAAAGGATTACTGTTACTGGTTGAGTAAATGAGCTTAAATGGACAGATAATTCAAGTCTGAAGATGGTGACTACAGGGTTAACAGTTGGAGTCAAATTATAGGGGAGTAGTCTTGCACCTCACTATCTTCAAACTCTACAGCACCATTGCCTGAATCCTTATTTTGATCCTCAAACTCTTAATCCTACTCAATTTTGAAACAGGTTTTAAAATTGTACTAATCTCTGTTAAGAATGTTTAAAATGGCTAATAATTGCCATAATTTGAAAAATTCTCTGCAACTATCACACAGCTCATAGAAACATAGAAACATAGAATGTGACGGCAGATAAGACCCATTCGGCCCATCTAGTCTGCCCAATTTTCTAAATACTTTCACTATTCCCTAACCTTATCTTATAGTTAGGATAGCCTTATGCCTATTCCACGCATGCTTAAATTCCTATACTGTGTTGACCTCTACCACTTCAGCTCGAAGGCTATTCCATGCATCCACTACACTCTCAGTAAAGTAATACTTTCTGATATTATTTTTAAACCTTTGCCCCTCTAATTTAAGACTATGTCCTCTTGTTGTGGTAGTTTTTCTTCTTTTAAATATGGTCTCCTCCTTTACTGTGTTGATTCCCTTTATGTATTTAAATGTTTCTATCAGATCCCTCCTGTCTCGTCTTTCTTCCAAGCTATACATGTTAAGAACCTTTAACCTTTCCTGGTAAGTTTTATCCTGCAATCCATGAACCAGTTTAGTAGTCCTTCTCTGAACTCTCTCTAAAGTATCAATATCCTTCTGAAGATACGGTCTCCAGTACTGCGTACAATATTCCAAGTGAGGTCTCACCAGTGTTCTGTACAATGGCATGAGCACTTCCCTCTTTCTACTGCTAATACCTCTCTCTATACAACCAAGCATTCTGCTAGCATTTCCTGCTGCTCTATTACATTGTCTGCCTACCTTTAAGTCATCAGAAATAATCACCCCTAAATCCCTTTCCTCAGATGTTGAGGTTTGGGCTCTATCAAATATTCTGTACTCTGTCCTTGGGTTTTTACATCCAAGATGCATTATCTTGCACTCATCCACATTAAATGTCAGTTGCCAAAACTCTGACCATTTTTCTAGTTTACCTAAATCATTTGGCTGATGCCTCCTGGAACATTAACCCTGTTACATATCTTAGTATCATCAGCAAAAAGACATACCTTACCATCAAGACCTTCTGCAATATCACTAATAAAAATATTAAAGAGAATGGGTCCAAGTACAGATCCCTGAGGTACCCCACTGGTGACAAGCCCAAGCTTTGAATATACTCCATTGACTACAACCCTCTGTTGCCTGTCACTCAGCCACTGCCTTACCCATTCAACAATATTGGAATCCAAACTTAAAGATTGCAGTTTATTGATAAGCCTTCTATGTGCAACAGTGTCAAAAGCCTTACTGAAATCTAGGTAAGCAATGTCTACTGCACCACCCTGATCTATAATTTTAGTTACCCAATCAAAAAAATCAATAAGATTAGTTTGGCATGATCTCTCTGAAGTAAACCCATGTTGTCTCTGATCTTGAAATCCATGTGTTTTTAGATTTTAAACAATCCTATCCTTTACCCACTACTGAAGTAAGGCTTACTGGCCTATAGTTGCCCGACTCCTCCCTATTACCTTTCTTGTGAATGGGCACAACATTCGCTAACTTTCAATCTTCTGGGACTACTCCTGTTAACAATGATTGGTTAAATAAATCTGTTAAGGCAGCAGAATCCTCTCGCACAGGAAGCAGCATCTTTAGTACATAGGCAGATCACTATCGCAGAACAAAGAAAATGACTCACCAATACCCAGCACTCTCCTCAGACCAGAAAAAGGAGTTGTCCGACATAGCCCATCGGATAGTAGAGAAAGGGAAGGGAATCCTTGCCGCTGATGAATCTGTAGGGAGTATGGCCAAACGTTTTAGTGGGATTGGAGTAGAGAATACAGAAGAGAACAGACGTCTGTACCGGCAGCTACTTTTTAAGGGTGATGATCGTATGAAGAAATGCATTGGTGGTGTCATCTTCTTCCATGAAACCTTGTACCAACAGGGAGACTGCGGCACCAACTTTGTTCAGATGATCAAAGATAAAGGCATTGTTGTAGGGATTAATGTAGACAAAGGTGTAGTTCCTTTTGCTGGTACCGATGGAGAAACCACTACTCAAGGTTTGGATGGATTGGCAGAGCGCTGTGCTCAGTATAAGAAAGATGGTGCTGACTTTGCAAAGTGGCGTTCTGTGCTGAAGATTAGTGAGAACACTCCATCTTCCCTTGCTATAATGGAAAATGCCAATGTACTTGCTCGTTATGCCAGCATTTGCCAACAGAATGGAATTGTTCCAATTGTGGAACCAGAGATTCTGCCTGATGGAGACCATGACCTAAAGCGTTGCCAATATGTGACTGAAAAGGTACTTGCTGCTGTGTACAAAGCTCTGAGTGATCACCATGTGTATCTGGAGGGAACTCTCCTGAAACCTAATATGGTAACCGCTGGGCATGCTTGTCCCAACAAATACACTTCTGAGGAGATTGCCATGGCAACTGTAACTGCACTGCGTCGTACTGTGCCCCCTGCAGTAACAGGAGTTACTTTCCTCTCTGGTGGGCAGAGTGAAGAGGAAGCTTCTATTAATTTGAATGCAATAAACAATTGCCCTCTGCTTCGTCCATGGGCACTTACCTTTTCCTATGGGCGTGCCCTGCAGGCTTCTGCACTAAATGTCTGGCGTGGCCAGAAAGAGAACGAGGATGCTGCCGCTGAGGAATTCTTGAAACGTGCAGAGGTGAACGGCCTTGCAGCCTGCGGCTTGTACGAGCACAGTAGTGATGGATCAGGGGCAGCTGGCCAGTCCCTGTATGTGGCCAACCACGCATACTGAACACACTGGACCACAAAGCACTAACCCACAGAACCCCTCCACTCTGCTTCCTTCCTCTTACAGCCATTTTGTGGTTTAGACACGGCATAACCTTACACAGCTAATGTGATCTCTTTGCAGTTCTAGTTGGTCATGGAAGTGGTATTGGGATGGGATTCAGAAAATCTTGCATTTATTTTCCTAGCAGAATTTTTATTTTTGAAGATCTACAGTTTGGTTTCATTCCAATAAAGCAAAGATGCATACTGCTATAACTGCAGTTACTCTAACACTTTACAGGAGGAAATGTTTATGTGGAATTCTATGAAGATTGTTAGAATGATCAGGTGGCTGTACTGATGTTGCCCATCTTATCTGTCACAAGCACTATAGTAAATCCCTACCCTGTTATGTGGAAGGTACACTTCGCAACTAACTGCTCATCAAACCTTGACATCCCTCCTCAACACTGTTCTGTGAAAGGTGTTGCACTATGTGGTACATCTGTAGACAAGTGGCTTGTGTGCTGCCCAATTTGTTAAACCGGTCGTTCACTCATGAGAAACTGGTTGAAATGTTACAACTGAATGGTTAGCAGGATCTCATGGCAACGTAGGGCATAAAATTACATGCTGAGCATATTGTGATTTAGTGTTGTCTTTACCTGTATGAAACTGATGTACCAAATTAGTTAAAGAATAAACTAGTGAAAAAAAAAAAAAAAAATTAATCTGTTAATGATTTTGTTAGTACACCACTAAGCTCTTTTAATAACTTTTGGTGTATTCCATCAGGTCCCATTGACTTATTTGTCTTTACTTTTGACAGTTGAAATAGAACCTCTTCCTCTGTAAACTTACATGTAATAAATGACTAATTTGTCCTTTTTCCTAACTGAGGTCCCTTTCCTTCATTTTCATCTGTAAATACTGAACAAAAATATTAATTGAGGCAGTCAGCTAGACCTTTATCCTCTTCTACATACCTTTCTTCTTTTGTTTTTAATCTAACTAATCCTTGTTTTACTTTCCTTTTCTCATTTATGTATCTAAAAAATGTTTTGTCCCCTTTTTTTACTGACTGTGCTATTTTCTCTTCTGTTTGTGATTTGGAAGCTCTTATAACTTGCTTAGCCTCTTTCTGCCTAATCTTATAGATCATTCTGTCTTCCTCACTCTGGTTTTTTTATAATTACTAAATGCTAACTTTTAGTTTTTTACTATTTTGGCCACATCTGCGGAGTACCACAGTGGTTTCTTGAATTTTTTGCTTTAACTGACAAGCCTAATGCAATTTTCTGTTGCCTTTAGCAGTGCAACTTTTAAATAATCCCATTTCTCTTGGACTTCATTTAAATTGCTCCAGTCTGATAATTACTCCTTTACACATATTCTAATTTAGAAAAGTCTGTTTTTATAAAGTCTAAAATTTTTGTTTTTGTGTGGTGTGACTCAGTCACTGTTCTTATATTAAACCACACTGACTGATGATCACTGGATACTAAACTTTCACCTACAGTAATATCTGATACCAAATCTCCATTTGTTAACACTAAGTCTAGTATGGCCTCTTTACGAGTTGGCTCCTCAATGACTTGTTTTGGAGACAATCCCAGTAGGGAGTTTAGAATATGTGTGCTCCTGGCACAAGCAGCTATTTTTGTTTTCCAATTCACATCAGGAAGATTAAAGTCACCCATGATGATAACTTCCTCCTTCATTGTCATTTTAGCTATTTCCTCAACTAGTAGATTATCTAACTCTTCTATTTGTCCTGGGGGCCTATAAATCACACCTACGCGATTTACTGTGTGATTACCAAATTCTAACGTAACCCAAACGGACTCTATGTTCGCCTCACTAACTTTTATTAGGCTAGATTTTATGCTATCTTTCACATATAGGGCCACACCTCCCCCTTTCTTGCCTTCCCTGTCTTTTCTATATAAAGAGTACCCTGGAATTGCTATGTGCCAGTCATTTTTCTCATTATACCATTTCTCAGTAACAGCGACTAAATCTACATAATCAGTTGCCATTATTGACACAAGTTCATGGATCTTATTCCCTAAACTGCGAGCATTTGTAGACATGACTCTAAGCTTACTCAAAGACGGCAACGGAAGAGTTTTTCCTTTATTTTACCATTTAAATTCCATCCAACTTTCTGTGTGTAGCAAGCAGATGTCACATGCACAAGAGGGAGTGATCTCTGTTTCCCCTTCTGTGAACAGCTAAGTGTATGCTACACATCAGATTGAAAAGTTTTTATTTTTAAAAATGGTATTGCAATGTACCGCACCCGCCAGACTTCAACCCTAGTCCTAGTTCTTGTTGGCCTAGTAAAAATATATGTGTACTGTTTGGAGCTATGTGACACATTCCTACTACAATATGCTCCTTATTGCTGTGGAGCTCTGTGATTCTCACACATGCTTTACACATTACTGTATCAAAGAGTTCCACACAAGTCAAACTTCCATTATTATATAAGGGAGTTCTGGGTTTACTTCAGGGAGATCATGCCAAAATATTTTGTCATTATCATTATTATATTTACATAGCACCAACAATGTCATCAATGTAAGCATTGGCTAACCTCCCTCATTTCTTCAGTTAAGTCCTCGCACTTCCCTGTACTCTCTATTACTTTTCACATTTTCCCTCAATCCCTCCCTCTCAGAAGTTTGAGTGCATGCATATTCTTTGTGAAAAGCTTTTGGATTGACCTTGCAACAGCTGCCATGATGTTAAATGGGGAATGGATAGCTTATTCTATAGTCTTTGTTTATTGGAGGAACCCAGTAGGGCATCAATTGTAAAAAAAAAAAAGTTGTCAAAAAAGGGTTGGTGTTCACTTTAATAACAGTGCTATGGTAAAACACCTTGAGAGAGGTAAAAAGAACAGGGTAATTCAAGCAGACAAGAAGGCTACATATAGCCAATTTAGCTAAGAGCAACTAGCCAAAACAGAATGTGCACTTTGCCTTTCAAAATAAAAACTATGATTGTAAATTGTAGAATGAAAATTTGTCATTAGAAAAAACAACATTATTTTGAAAACATACATTTTTCTATGTGTCAATACTACAGATATATTGTTTGCTTGTCTGTCTACCTCACAAACTACAATATTTTATATATATATATATATATATATATATATATATATATATATATATATATATAACTATTTTGTATCATCATATTGTCCAAAAACAAAATTTGTTCCGGTGGTCCAAATTTTGTCCATATTGTGTTTTGGTTCAGATGAATTTAAGCCATGCAATTATTTCAGGAAAAAAAGATTTGGAATTAAGATGAACTTAACAGTGTACTGCAAAATATATAAATAATATAGATATTATGTATATATAATTTTGTAGTATACAGATAGGTGCATTTTCTGACATTTGGAAACATATAAACATTTTACTGATTTTTTTCCCCCTCTATTGGTCATATCTCACTTGACCTGTGAATAAAATAAAAATTTAGTGGGTTTCCCCTAACCATCAATCATCTTTATTCCCCACCAATCATCTCTTTTTTTTAGTGCCTAAGGTGGAGCTCTGAATCATTTTATCCATCCATTATCAATGAACAAACCTGTAACAAATTAAAATGCTACAAATTCAGATTTCTACAGCATGTCTATATAGAAGGACCATTAAAAAAAAAATATTTCTCAAATGAGCAAATTATTTTCTTGGCATAATTCATTAATCAAAGAATATTTTAACAGAAAGTCTTTTGGCCACTCAGGAATAATGTGATCCTTAGATCACCATATACAGCTGTTAATTAACAGAATGGTCTTTCATCGTTGGCTGGGTGTGCCTTTTCCATCTGCCAGTAAATCAGGTAAATTATTGATACAGACGTTAAAGAAAGCTGACGCCAAAATAAGTAAATCACTTACCAAATTTTTTTTGTGTTGTTTAGGACAAATCGACCTGTTCCCATGTATTAGCGAATAATCCAGTTTAGATAAAGGCTCTCAGGACAGATTAATCATTTTATATAGTGAGTAAACTCTATGCACGAACTTGACATGCTAAAAAGTATAAATAAATCTTTTATAAACATTTCTAAAACATAATTATCTTTTTAGCTATTGATGTCACATGTATTACGATTCTTCATAGATATATGAGTTTTAATCAGAAAAGATTAAGTAATACAATAAATATTCCATACCCAAAAATAAATTTAGCTTTATTATAGCTACAATAATAAGATTAATTTTCCCTGCTCCATAGAAATTTCTGGGATTATTTCCAAAAAATGGAAATCATTCCAAAGTTGCATTTTGTAGTATTTCTCTATTATTATTTTCTACAAATGGTATCTTCATATTTTTACGGATGAAGATACTTTAAATGAAGCGTGTTCTGCTGAAATAAATATATTGTTTAAGTCAATATTTGTCTGACAAATCAGATTAAAGAAAATAAAGAGGTCAAGACACAAATGTCTATCATGGATCTAAAAAGCCCTAGTGTGCTGTACAGAAGTGTATTGTGCCAGCATTTGTGTAATATTTTTTGACTAGTGCCAATACTTTTGTATGCATGCACACTGGGCAATCACATAGAAAAACAACACTTTTTTACCCAACAACAGCCCAAGGCGCACAGCTGTAAATCTTTAAGATAATCAATCATTCCCATCAACTTTAAATTGGGAGTTTGCATATGATGTTACTCCTTGTGGACTGCTGAGTAACATCAGGATTTTTTTTTTTACCTATTGCTAAATAAAGTTTTTTAAAGAGAATCTTGGATTCAGTTCATACAGTTCAGATACTAGTCTCCACTCCTTCAAAAAATCATAAAAAATTAACCTTTTTTACAAAAGCATATCAATCAAACTGTTAATGGCTCCAGAAAAACCCCCACTAAGTCTTTGTTGAATACTATTCTACCAATTTCCTTACCTTTTGTGTCACTTTACCCCACTCCCTCTAGCATGTAAGCTCATTGAGCAGGGCCCTCAACCCCTCTGTTCCTGTGTGTCCAACTTGTCTGGTTACAACTACATGTCTGTCCGTCCACCCATTGTAAAGCGCTGAGGAATTTGTTGGCGCTACATAAATATAATAACAATAATGATGATATAGAATACAGTTAAAAATCTCTTTTGTTCCATCCTATGTTTTATATTTCCAAGGATTATTAAAAGAAAGCAAACCTCAGCTATACTAAATTATGTTAAAAAACCTAGATGTATGAACCTTTATTGCCTCAGGGGGCACCCTGGCAAAGAAAGGAAGATTTGTTGTCCACCTTAAGCAAGATATGTAAGAAAGCAAATATAAAATGTTATGGACAGCAAGGCAGGGAAGGACAAGCTGTATAGATGTAGGCTGTTCTGGCGATTTGAAAGTGTAGCTGGTTTTTCCTTCACAACAAAAGTAAGCATGGCTTTGGCAAAGAAATGCCAAAGCTATGACAATAGCATGGCAAGGATGCCAGTTTTCAGAACTCACTTAGAATGCAAGATTATAAGGCACATTGTGCAGTAAAATTCTCCTCTAGGCACTGCTTTATAGTTACATTAAGTAGAATGGCATGCAAAAAAGGCTGTATATATACATACTCTCACCTTCTCTTTCTATTGTGAATACAAGAGGCAGCTGCAGTCTTTCTTATATGCTTATACAAGAGGCAGTTGCAACCAGTCATCATTTTTTTTTTATTCTAGTAAATTTAGCAATACTATTTA